CAAGAGTGTTGCCATGGCAACAACGTAGTGGTGTCATTCTGTTTCTTTTGTGATGTACATTGCTGGTGCCAAGTTTGAAGAACAATATTTTAATATTTCTACAGTTATTCTTGATTGAGTGTTGTGCTGTTTTAGTGGAACCACCTATGACGTGATCACTTTCATCATTTGCGTAATACAAAACCGTGAATATCTCTAAAACGAAAAAAGATATTCCAAAAAGAAAAGCGCCATTCCTCTTTACTTTGAAAAGGCTTTCAAATAAGCAGCAATTATTTTTTACTTCATAAGCACTTTAAGCAATCAATCAATGTTTTTGCAGCAGAATGTTAGCCTTGAGACTGCAGGCAGTGATTGTCGTTGTTGGGATAAATGACTCTGAACCAGACATTAACTCTGAAGCCAGAGGCAAGAAATTCTGAATAATACCAAGGAATAATATTGACCCAGGAATAAATAAGCTTGAAATGAGAAACTTAAAATCCTCTGAACTGGGGCACATCTCAATGAAATGAAGTCTCTTCTCTGCTCATTAATCTCCTTATTATGACAACATAAAATTAAAATAGTTTGCATATACATTACTTGCAAAAAATTTCGGACGACATTAATTTCAGACAAAAAAATGTCCAAAAATAAAATCGTCTGAAATTTGTAAGTGCCTGAAATTTCAAGCATCCAAAATATTTACAGTACAGTATAAAGTACATACTTTCTTCTTGGACAGTGCCATCACATACATGATGAAGCAAGAACTTGAATTTTAAAAATTTGCTTGTTCTTTTTATCACCTGAAACAAAAATTTTTGTTTCTTTTATGAGAACATACATGTAATGCAGATTAATTCCATAAATTTTCCAGTCTGACTCAACTTTTGTAGGCAAAAATTTAACTAAGCTAAGTTCTAGCAAGGTGTTCCAAAATTAAATGTCCAAAATTTTTGAAAGTAATGTACCAATTATTAAAAATCAATGCTTATCAAAAACATATCACTGTCAAGCCTACAAATAACAGTCAGTCATCAGATGATTGCCGGGTAAATTTGAGGTTTTGACAGGTAAAAGCTTATCCTGGTCGGACACTCTGACCGGGCATTTCTGCTGCAATGAAAACTAGTAGTAGTCATAGATTAAAGAGTGCATTTGAGTTTTGGTAGGTTTGTATGTTAAAAAAGCAAAAATTCTAGGAACAGCATTTTGTGCCTGAGCTGTTAGGTAGACATGAAATTGGCGTCCCTTTAGCAGGGGCAAAAACAAATGAATTGATCACAAGGCACATACGCATGAGAGGGTTTGTTTTCGTTTATACAGGTATTATGTAATATTAGTTACAACCAGTCAGTAAAAAACACGGATTGTAGTTGGGAGGCCACATTTAGCCCACAGTCCACATTTTATACCTGATCCATGAGTCTGTGTTTTATAACCAGTCCATAATGCTTAGTCCACATTTTATACCTAAGTCTGTAGTCCCCAGTCCGGAGTCTGCAGTCCATATTTATACTGACCATGTAATGGTACATTTTGTTGACCCCTAGTCCATGGACTACTTGAATGGACTACCCTAGATGGACCGCCCTGAAATTTGTGGCACACATGAATTTAATGATGCTAGAACCCAAACAAGAGATGCAAGTGACCGACAAACACAATATTTACAGAACAATTGTAATGTAACAGATTTAACAATCATGGCCAGGTTGTTCGGAAGGCGGTTAACGCTAACCTAGGATTAAAAGTTAACCAAAGTATAACTTTTTCTTGTATACAAATGTTTTTCACTGCTTATGTTTTGTGTAATTTGAGATAATTCAAACTCAAAACAGAAGGCCAAACAATAAAAACAGAAAATCTCACTGCAAAGTTACAAAACTCAAATCAAAATTCTCGCTTAACCTGGGTTAGCTTAATCGGGCTTTGAATAACCCGGCCCAATGCTTCGCTTTTAGCCTTGGCTAAATCTATTTATTATATGGCTAGCCTGCGAACAGGCTCCCGGCGAGGACAGAAAAATTTCGGCGAGCACGAAACAGAAGAATTCAGAGAGCAAAGTGATTGGGGCGGGGACAGGGGAGCCTGTAGACTTTGTTTTTGATGTGCCTATCCACCCTTGGTGATAAGCCTGTAACAAATCAGTCAATGAGGTAATTAGACCTGTCAAGAAGCTACATTTTCAGTAATCGAGCTAATCAAATAGCCGGGCCGGGCGTCATAATATAGAATGCGAGTAAGCAACATGTCCACAGAATATTTCAAACTTAACTTAGAGAGCTTAAAACATATTTTGCAATACTGAAATAAGCCTAACAAAATTATAAACACATGACAGAGGTGTCAAACTCTGTGAAGTGACAAGCAGATAACAGCAGAAAGTCCGGAAACCATTACTTTGACCTCTAAAAAACATTGCTACAGCACCGCCAAATGGCTCCACTCCACTAGCTTCTTCTTAAAATTCCTCCTCATAACAGAGAATAAAGTACCCTTCAGAATCACTTGTGAAATAACGAGAGGTCGAGAGACCAAAACTTAAAAGAGAACGGCAAATGCACTATTGTAACGAACCGTTGGAGTCGTATAATTTTACAAAGATCTNGACCTTAAAAGAGAACGGCAAATGCACTATTGTAACGAACCGTTGGAGTTGTATAATTTTACAAAGATCTGTCAAATATTCATCTCAAAGATGTCAACAATCAGCCATTTAACCAATCATATCATGATACCAGGAGCTGGTATTAGAACGGCGGCATCAATAGAATGTCTACAGGCTCCCTCGCTTCGTTCGGGCTCACCAGGAGCCTGTTCGCAGGCTATTATATGGCTAGCTCCATGAGCGGGCAAGATGAATCAAATCCTGCACTGTGATTGGCTACCCAAGTGGGCAAGACGGAGCTATCTTGCTCACTCGGGACTACCTGCCGTGTCCTGCAAGAAAACTTTTTGTGAAAGCCATATAATAAATCCTTTATTGACCAAGTTTGTTCGCTCGAGATGGCTTGTTATTGACCTCATTCTTTTTTTTGTAAGTTTATGGACCTTGACTCTGTCTCGGTCCATAAACACGCAAAAAAAGGAACTTGGCCAATATCCAGCCATCTTGACCTCACACTTAGTCAATAACCCATACATATTACATTTTACACCTCTTGGGGGAGAGGGGTGGTGTCATCCACACTTTACCCCACCTTCTATGCCAAAGGGGTTAATTAAACTCATGTCATGTTTTATAAAGACTCCTAAAACACAGCAAGCATGAAATATTAGTGGAAAAAATGACCAAAAAATATAAGAAACTGGTCGTATAATATTTCTCGCTGTTATCCTCTAAACATCCCTTGATTTGCTTACAATACGATCATGTTAAAACCAACATGGCGACCGTTGCTTTAAGCCGAGGAGGTTTATAAGCTCATCTGTTAGTGTAATAAGGGTCTCTAAAGAAACGCAAAATAGCTGTCTCAGAAATCTCAGAAATACCTTTCTGTAATTTACGAGGAAAAATACCAGAAAAAGAAACTCTGTAGAGTAAATTACCTCGCAAGAAGATTCGTAAACGCTGAGAGAGTGCAGTTCATTAAGTGGCGAGAACAACTCCACACACAACTTGTCTACCCAAAGACTTCCGTCATGAGGAAATCAATAATTTGCGAGGTAACCTCGTCGAATTGGAATACTTTCTTCGCTCCACAGTTGCCTCAAAACGATACATATTTACTCTTCCGCCGCTGACCCGCTCTTTTCTCGTGCAGAACATATCATTTGAAGCGAGAACATGCGCGCGGCGCGGACGCAGACACGCGAGAATAAAGCGCGCTTACTTCCAGTGTTCTTGCATTTTTTTTTCTCTCTAAAAACAAAAATAAATATGACCCATTCTAGGTTAGGTTGCGTGAAATATATATCTTGGCACAGATATCGTTAATTCAAGACCAACCTCGTCCCCGCGGTGCTTTTTCCTTGTGAAGGGTGGAAAACGCGCCCTGGGAAAGGAAACGAAGTTGCGCCCTGGAGTACGAGGTTAGTTCAAGACGAAGATTGTATGTTCAAAGCCAGACAGCATCAACAAAGGAGAGAAAATTGTATATCTCAAAATTTGCTACATAACATTTTAATTATACAGCAATTTAGTTGTATAAGTAAGCTTTCTTTCATGTCGAACGTAACGTTTTAAGCTTAAATTTGAATACTTTACTAAATTTATTGTAATTAATAATTTAACGAGTAGCGATCTATTTAACTATTATAAAATTGCTTCTACAATACCGCGGCATGTTTGTAACTGTAATTTTAAACTTGTAATGTTTTCTGTAAATAAATTAGAGTGGAAAAAGATCTTTCTTTTCTTAGTGTCATTTCTTTCAAAAAACCATTCCAATATCGTGCCTGCAGCTTTACAATTAGCGCAAAAAACTACAGCCTCAATCGGCAGTTGAGAAATTCCTAAGTCATTTGGTCGTGATTTGTCCCGCATGCGTTGCTGTTACCAATTTTAAAAGGGGCCTTGCTCTCCGGAAAAATTAGCTTTAGCTATGTGCTCAAAACAACAAGAATTGACAAGATGTGAACAAGTACAATAGTACGACTAGTAACAAAAGGTCGTGAAGTGTTTATGCTGTTATGATGGATTTGGAAAAAAAAATTTAGATCACGAATTTTGACCACCCGATAATAGCAACTGTGTGCATCCCATAAGTCTTGTTACTATAGCTCTCTGCACGCATTGCGTCCCTAAGATTCTAGATAGTCTATTCCCCTCTCCCTCCCGCTTAAAATATGCCCGTTCTTTTTCTGTATGCTAACAGTGAATAGGCCATTTTACAGTTGTGTTCTTAGTTACCTGGCCTTGATTGCTAGCGAGGCTGGAGGTGATCTTGCTTTGATACAAACCTCTCTGCTTTTCTCATGTAAATGCCACTAGTTAGCATAAGAACAACTTGATTTACACAACAAAAACAATGAGGTCTGGATCAAAACAAGGTCACCTCCAGCCTCGCTGCTATTCAAAGGCCAGGTCGCTGAACAGACAACTGTAAAATGGTCTATTCTAAGGATTTCTCGATGTGGCAAGTAATTGCACTTACAGCAAAATTGGTCTGCTACACAAAGTATAGTTTGTACAAAGTAAGTTTAAGAGAATCACTGAGGCAAGTGGCGCGTTTAGTTTCTACTGTTTGATATTCGCTTTCTGTGTCTTGCGTTCATCAGTAAAAAGTTCATAATTGTAGTGGAATGTTCTTCCATGGATATAATTTCTGATTCCCCCAATGCACCCCACCTATCTTTTTCGTGACCAGGCCACTAAGTCCTCTGATTAACCAATAGACGGACACTTAATCGTCCTTCCGACTGGTATGGCTTACAACGCAAGGACACATCTTCATTTTGACATCTTTTGTTTCCAAGTTCTAAGTTTCGACGAAAGAGACACCATAATCCTGCCCAGCTCTCGAATCAAATGTAAACTACTCTCGATTGACGATAGCATTGATACTACGTTTCTTGTAGCTAGTTCTACGTATTTTGGTGGGAAAAACGTTTGTTGGCCTAAACTTGTAAGAGGTAACTCCACTTGGCTCTGACCCGCCGTTTTGTCGCATGTGGGACGTCACAGCTTGCTTGGCGGTATAACCGTCTTAAAAAGTGGATCGTAATACTAGTGGCCGTATCCTTTCCATATCATGTAAGGCAATAATAGCGGTATCAGCTTATCTTGTTGTGCAAGGTAACAATAGCGGTATTGCCTTTTCCTGTCGTGTACGCTAACATCAGCGGTATCAGCTTCCTTGTTGCGTTAGCTTATTTATTAATTTTAGCAGTAGCCTGTCCTTGTCATAAGAGATAATACTACGGTATTGTTTCCTTGTCATGTAAGATAATCGACGTATCCTTTTGTCGTCATATAAGGTAGTAATAGCGGTATCCCTTCTTTGGGAAAAAGTCTCTTGGATGCGCCAAGTGCTTGGCCGAGTTGAGTTGGCAGTTAGGGTCCTTTATTGTGTTGGTATGTTTAGCCTGCCTAGAGTTCTTCGCTATAGATTTAAAGTTAATTGATTGACAGTTTTTATCTCTCAAACACAGCATTGCACATGTGATCTCGCTAGAAGTCCAGGTATCTTTTATCGCGTGATTTTTCAGAATCCAGTTTTCCTCTGCGTTGTTGAAATACGCTTGTCGACTGGAAGGCTCATCTAGGAAAACCAACAGACCAAAATTGATGGATTTTTCAGATTGTTTATAGGTAGAACGTAAGATGATAGTTTGAAAAGAACATTAGAATCGAGGGGTACTATACATGCATTAATTTAGCTGAATGTTACATGACTGAGCCTAATTACAGTTACATAATTATATAATTGTATGTTAAACAAAATTCTCGATTGTGATTGGTTCTCCGATAATATTTGTCACGTGATTGTCGTTCGATCATGTGAGTGTCCAATTGGATACCTATAATTGGACATTACAGCCATTCGCCCGTCAATTAAGTGCGCTTAATTGGCTTCCTTCTTAATGTTTCCCTGCAGTTTGTAAACTTTTGGAAATACTATTGACTTCTCGCTCGAAATAATTTCTTAAAGACTTCTTATTCTCGAACTTTGTTATTGACGGATATGATTATTAGCAATTGGACCTTGTATCGTAAGAAATTAATCTTGCCCGTGTTTTTAAATCAGCCTCGAGCTGCGCGCTCCTCCGATTTTCAAATTACTCGCGCGATTACTCACTGAATTAGATACTCCACATGGTCCAATTACTATTGCTATTATTACCAATAAGATTCCAGGATTTGTTAACAGAATGTTAAACAACACCAAACGTTCACAGGTCGCATGTTTGTAGTTGCATCGACAACATATAGGGAAGGAGAACTCAGAAATATTTATTACATAATTGCAGAAGTTTACCTTTATTAGTGTCATTCCTGCCACTGGGCGATCTTGAGGAAGCTGTTGATTTCAATAGCACTTGACTAGACTTGGTTGGTGACATAAGAATCATACACGAAGAGCTTGACGTCATCGTTACCGTTGACGACGATGGTAGAGAGGACGAATACTTGGCATGCAATAGAGAAGATGGCACAGATGACGTCATTATAGGCGAAGATGACGTCAGAGCTAGTGAAGAAGACGTTTCTACTGTAGAATCGAAGACGGAGAAGCATAGTCAGTGATGGTGCCATGATACTTGATCTCGTATGATCTTTTATTTGGAAATCACGATACTAAAACTTAGAAATTAAAATGCTAACTTTTGAAAACAAATAATAAAGACATTTCAAACCATATAGTAATACTGGATACAAGGCCATGAAAACAAAAAGCACAAACCACTGGCACGATCAGCTTAAATTGTCAATAATTATTGCAAGTGATAATTTGCAGGGGAGTAGTCATTTCTTTACAAGCTACCACATAACTATACATTTCGTTACATTTAGGTCCAACAAGACAGCTCGCCTTCTTTTTCTGTCGGGGAAGTGCCAATGAGGCGTTCCTACACCTTTAGATATTTCTTCTAGGGAAAATTCAAGATGATTTGTGTTTTTAACGGCAACGCGCGCGAGATCTTCAGCCAGTGGTTCAGCTGTTCAGATTATTTTTTTTTGAACTGATAGTCATTTCAGCCTTGGACTTCACAGCTATATATCACCTCTGAGGATAAAAATGAGGGCGAACACCCAAATTAATTAAATAGAATTCCAACTAAATTTCCGTCAAACTAGCTACAATCATTAGCATTACAAAGAAGCTTTCTTGATCAGAATGTACTCTAGATCGACCTTTTTGGAATTGCCACAAGAGGGATCAGTTGGGACAGATGATTCCTCTTCTACCATGCAGTTCGTGATGTTGGTTTCCATAAACTAAACTGCAATAAGCAACATCGGACAGGGTCAGGGCGGAATTACGAGAACTGCGAAGGGAATGTCAGGTGAAAAAAGTTTCTGAAGTAATTATCTCTGATGGCCTGGAAAAACAATTATCACTTGCAAGTAAGCGGTTTGATTTTAGGAGAATGCTAACCCACACACTGTCGAAGCTCACTTTTTACCTGTAACACTGGATGATGGCGATGAGGTGGTAGTAGATTTTAGTGAAACTTGATTAAACTGGGTCGATGGTATTACAACTACTGATTCAATACTTGATGTAATAATTGGCGCCGATGAAGTAAGCACAAAAGATGACGTCTCTCTTGTTGAAGAGGACGTCAGAATCACTTTTGATGATAGATTTCGTGCTGATGACGACAATGACGTAATCATTGATAATGTCATGGTACTCGATGTCTTAACTCCTGGTGATGATTCAGCTAAAATAAAAAAAAAAAGAAAAAGAAAATGGAAATAAAAAATCACTTTCATCTTGCAATATGCTAGCTCGGCGTTTTATTATCTCTTCAGTAGCATAATTAAGGTGATTCCCTAGTAAAAGAAACCGCTATAGATTTCCGATGAAACTTCGTATGCTGTTGTTACAGGACAATGAGATATTAAAACGTAGTAAAAAGAGGGGGTCACCGTGCTTGATTTCACGCCACAATGCTGACAAATACGGCTATTTAGGTGACTTTTGGTAATCTCCGTGCACAACAATTAAGCTCGATTATTTTTCAATGCAGCGTGTTATATCACACAGAGTTTGACTTTCTTTGATTGTTTATTTATCTACGTCCAGGAAAAATGTCTTCAAATACCCTGCATTTTTTTATCCTTTAAAGGAAACATAATTTGGACATACGCTGTTGGACCCGTTATGTCTCCCTCTTTAGTATTTATTTTATTTGCCATAAAAGTAGCCATAGATTTCTGCTAATTTTTTTCTCAGTTATTAAGGATATTGTTCTCGTTGAAATTATGAAATAAAAAGTGGGGTTCATCGTGCTCGTTTAAGAGAAAAGGAGCATTTATCTCGCTGTCGAGCTTAGCTTGAGGAGAATCTCTTACGTTTTGTACGCGCGCGCCCATGTGCGCGCGCTAATGAAACGAAAATCATGCGCAGTAGAGATGTGCAATGCAACACTAAGAAATCACTTTAATTCCCGGGCTAGATATAAAAATTAATAGCGATTATGTCATTAACAACTGATGATAATTACATGTTGCTAGTCAGACTAGTTAAATGTATGAAAGGAGACAGCTGAGAAATATCGATGGAATAATTACCACGGCTACATTTACTAGTGACGTCATTCATGCTACCGAGCGATCTTATGGTAGCTGTTGATTTGCACAGCGCTTGTTTAGACTTGCCAGGTGACATTCAAATTAACGACGAAGAGCTTGACTACACATGACGTCAGTGCGATTACTTGGTAGGTAGCTGTGGAGCAACTTCCAAAGATAACTTCATTTTCGTTCAGGATGACGTCAGGGTCAGTGATAAAGAACGTTGTGCTCATGCCGTAAAAAAATAGCATTTCCTTCAAGATCAGCTCTTTTGCTGTTTTTTCCCTATTGGATACAAGCTTATCACAAGAGCTTAAATTAAAAAAAACACATAATAAGTTGGATATATTCTACGGTCAGCCAGGTTTATTAAAACACACAAGATTGTACGGAAAAAAATGGAGTCCAGCACAAATTAAAAAAAAAAGAAAACTGAGGAGTCCCCCTGCGGGGGCGAACCGCAATGCCCTTCCGAACCGAAGCTCGGAAATGTAGCCACTGTGCTACAAAGGGACTCCGTAAATTAGGTAGCAAATTTAACGGTACCTATAGGCGAATCTTTGCTGACGTCATTGTTTACATTTTTCCTCATTAACATACGCCTTTGCGCATAGAAGGTATCATGCTAGACCCGATTTTACTAAAAAAAACTTAAAGAACTTGTGAAACTTAGTAAGTGGTGAAATTTTAGGCTCTTTTGGGTGTAATATTCGAGGAGAAATTGGCTTTCAAAAACATCAAAATTTCTGTGTGGCAAAGGCGCTAATGAGCTAATACATTCTTTGTAAAATTTTGAGGTTTTAAACCCTCGTCGCACAAAAAGTATTCAAAACATCGCGCTCAAATTCCCTGGGACAGTTAATCGTGCTGTGCCCTTTTAATATTCAGTATTAATGTCTTTGTAGCTCCATCAGAAACTGTGTCGCTTATGGTAATGAGGCAAATATTGTAAACAAAGATTCTCCTATATGTACATAAAATGTAGTTTCTATTGACAGCCCTATCTTTCTTTTAAAAATGGCCGATTCAAAAAATCAAAGACCTTGCTTAAGTGATAGAGTCTTTTAAAATCCCTTATTAAATCTTTCCCAAACACAAAAAAAAAAAAAAAAAAATTTCCAACAAAATCCGCTCTTTTGCAGCTCTTCGTTTATTGGATACAAGCTAATAGAGAGAATTTCAATAAAAAAAGACATAACAAGATGGATATTTGTTATCGTCAGCCAAGTTTGATGTCATATTTTATACGATATTCTCACTCCTAACTTGCTCAAAAGCGAAACAAAAAGAACATTGGACAAAAAGAAATAAATGGAGTCCAGCAAAAATATGAAAAAAAAACTGAGGAGTCCTCCTTCGGGGCCTGAATGCCATGCCCTTCCGAACCGAAGCTCGGAAATGTAGCCTCTGTGCTACAGGAGGACTCCGTGAATTGGGTAGCAAATTTAACGGTACCTATATGCACATAAAATGTACTTTCTATTAACAGCCCTATCTTTCTTTGCAACATATTAATGTGAAATTAAAAAAATCAAAGACCTTGCTTAAGTTATAGTCTTTTCAAAATCCCTTATTAAATCTTTTCCAGGCCACAAAAAGATAATTCCATCAAGATCCGTTGTTTTGCAGGTCTTCGTTTATTGGATACAAGCTAATAAAGACAGTTTAAATAAAAAAAGACATAACAAGACGGATATATTTTATCGTCAGCCAAGTTTGATGTCATATTTTATAAGGTCTTTTGACCCCCAACTTGCGCAAAAGCGAAACAAAAAGAACATTGGACAAAAAAAAAATAAATGGAGTACAGCACAAATATGAAAAAAAAAAAAAACTGAGGAGTCCCCCTACGGGGGCTGAACGCCATGCCCTTCCGAACCGAAGCTCGGAAATCCGGCCATCATATTGCTACATTCTAGGATTAAATGTATTGCATATTTATTCAGTTTTAGATTTTTCAACAGCTGTTCCATCTGAACCAGCAGAAGTCAATAGAGACGTTATATATGGAACAGTTATCGGAATTCTCGCCCTGATGTTAACTGTTTTTATCACCTACATGATACTGAAGCACCGACAACGTAAGTAAAATGCATTTTCTACTATCACGCTCATATTGGCTATAGTTCCTTAGCCGAAGAGAAGCTGCATATAATTAAACTGGGTCGCAGTTTAGTCTTAATCCTCTGTTCAGGATATAAGTAAGGTTTACTAGAAGACGCAACCAAAATCCTTGCTATTCTCTAAATACTGTTTTTTTTGTTTGTTTGTTTGTTTGTTTGTTTTTTTAGTAATCTTGGCATTTGTTGTCACATTTGTGGCAGATTCTTCGCAGCCTGAGAGTAAAGTACCTTGTATAATCCTAGAGATTTGTTATGGTTTAATGGCTCTTACTATTTTACCCTTTTAGGTCAAGGAGATAATCGGTCAGTCCACTTTAACTTCTAGATTTACTTATTAATTAACATATTGTATTAACTTGTTTCCGTTCTGGCAGTGTCATTGATTTGAAAACAAACGAAGAGTACTTCGAAAGGTCTAAAATTCTAAAATATGCCCCTAGTCGTTATTGTAATATTTTCTGAAAGAAGCATGGTTGCATAGGTTACCTTTCTAAAATTACTGAATTACCTGAACCACAATTACCTGCATGTTACAAAGGCTTTAAAGCATACATGGCCATTAAATAATGTTTGTTTTGACATGGTGACGAACAGTCAATTTCGCTTAGAGTACTCAGACTAAAGGAAGCTATATGAATTAATCAATATGAACAGATTTCGAAGTTAAGCGTTATACTGTGATATGCTGGCGTTTTCAGACCAAAACCCCATTACTGCCTTTGGGGGAAACAGTGATTACTGTAGTTTCCCGTCATTAAGAAGCCTGCTTCCGTGCACGTAACTGCATGCCCCGACTTATTAAAAACGGGATTTAGCCGAATGAGACAGCCAGGTAGTGGCTCTTCTTCCACTGTTTCCAAATGGAACTGGACTTAAGATGTGTTGAAATTTGTAGAACTAGAGAACCCGGAGGTGAACCCTCTGAGAAAGGACCAGAATCTACAACAAACCCACTACACTCTGGATGCCGGGTTGCTGGCTGGAAGTGAGCCTTCTAATAACGATACTGCGCCATCCTGACCTGCTTCGCCCTACTTTTTTAAAATCAAGATGATGTACCTGATGTTGAATTTGTTGTTCTATTCTAGATTGGATAAAGCTGCTCTGGGGGAAAGGGGAGCGCAACTTGTAAGTTTGAAGTTAACACTAGGTGCGGCATGCAATTCTTAAAGTGGTAGTCAATAGGCCTTAAGTAATTAAAATGGAATACTCAAAATTCTCCACAAAGCCTTGTTGACATTTGTTGCAATTCATAGTGCGAGGGCTTTTGTTTTGGCGGGAAACATGAGTGGCGAGGCCGCGAGGGGATTGGTGAAGAGTCAAGTTCTCTCACGGCTTCACCGCTTCCGAGTAATAGATTACAACACGATGAAATTAAATGCAATACAATGCAATACAGATTTAATTGACGTTCCCCAGGGGAGCTTTTCGGTATTTTGTACATCATGCAGGTTTTAACTCTGCTTAGAAGCCTTTGCCCCCTCCCCCCCCGCCCCCCGCCCCCAGGACCTAACACACACACTCCCTCCCCGCGCCCACAGGACTAAGCTAAGTGTGATTTTTCCTTTCAAACTCAGAACGAGGCGGTGGAAATTGAAGGAAGGAATGAAAACGTTCACACTACGAACCATCATGCTGCAAGCCAATACATGGCCTTAGTTGAAGTTGCACAGTCCCAAGGAGGAACAAGCCCAGAAATATCCCCTTATTCAGAAATAAATGAATATGCTCCACTGCACCCGGGAACTCGTTCATGGGAAGTTCCAAGAGAAAATATAATCATTGAAAAGATAATAGGAAAGGGTGCTTTTGGACAAGTGGCGCAAGGAAAAGCTTCACAGCTTCGAGGGAGAGAAGAAACAATTACAGTGGCGATCAAAATGTTAAAAGGTACTTCATGCAGAATAATAAATACTTAGTCATTGCTTCCTAACTTATTTTGAATTATGAATAAACCTATTTATCCTANAGAAACAATTGCAGTGGCGATCAAAATGTTAAAAGGTACTACATGCACTGCAGAATAATAAATACTTAGTCATTGCTTCCTAACTTATTTTGAATTATGAATAAACCTATTTATCCTAGATAACGCTACAGAGAAAGAAAGAAATGATTTGCTGTCAGAACTTGAAGTGATGAAGAAACTCAGGCCTCATCGTCATGTCATCAAACTGCTGGGATGTGTCACGGAATCTGGTAAATCATAGTTAATAGAGGGAAATGGTTAGGAAGGCCAGTAAACATCAAAGAAGCAAACAAACAAGCTAATATTTATGTTGGTAGTCTCTTGACCCTGCACATCTTTAGTTTTATGCTCACTGACTATGTATGAATTACATAATCGCAATGCTACTATTGGTTAGTTTTGTGAGCACATCTATCCACCTTTCGTAGTTTGCCAGGTTTTGTGCAGGGTCAGCCCCCAAATAGCAAACAAAAACATACAACAAAGAACTTTGCCAAGTTTCCTAACCATTTCCCTCAGTTAACTATGGGTAAATGAAACCACAAAGATTTTTCATTATTAAAAATAGCCTAATGCACTTACAGTGTACATGGAAGAGCTGCTTGGAATTCGAAGGTGCTGTAGATAAAAAGTGGTCTGTGTATTGAAATCCACATTAAGCTGGCTAAGTGATTGTGTTCTTGGGGAAGCCGTGTTAATATTATTTTTATTCGCGTCAACCTTTTGATCCCAGAGTTAATAGATCAGCCGTTCTATACCATTTTTGACCTATTCATGGTGGATTACTAGATTTGAGTTGACACCTAATATTTGCCTGAAANCATCAAAGAAGCATTTCAACCATGAATGAAATTAGTCGTAGTGTATTGACAATTTGGCCTTTTTGGCGTCGTAGATCCCTTGCTTGTCGTTATTGAATATGTCCCGTATGGTGATCTCCTGGGTTACTTAAGGAAGAGCCGTGGATTGAATGACATGTATTTCAAAGACCCGGACGTCAAGCCGCAAACAAGTCTGACGTCACAGCAGTTAATCAAGTTTTCCTGGCAAGTAGCTGACGGGATGCGTTATTTGTCTTCAAGAAATGTAAGTTATTTTGAAATAGAAGGTAGCAGTGGCACGTTCACTGTTTTTAGGGTCGAATGTAGAAGTATTTATTTTTGTTAAGGGGGAAAACAGGAGAACCCGGGGAGATGTATTTAATTGTAAGAAGTTATCTAGACTTAAAAACGCCAGTTCGGGACGAGGAAAATTTCCATTAGGCTCAGTCAAATCAGAGTGCGAATGGAGCGACGAAAACGACAAGCTTGGTCCTTTGCAACGGGGCTACCTAAAACAACGAAGGAGTTTTATCACGTCTAGTGTTTGTTTATGCAATAATGACAAATAAATTATTGTCTTTGTCAGATCATTCACCGCGACCTTGCCGCTCGAAACGTCTTGGTTGGGGAACAGGAGATTTGCAAAGTAACCGACTTTGGAATGGCCAGAGACGTGAACCAGGAAAACATCTACGAAACGAAAACAAAGGTTCCTGCTACATGCAGCCTTTGCGCATATGAATTTTTTAAAAGCTTTGCGTCTTCAACCTTTATTCCTGTATTTACAAGTTTTTTTCTATTTTTATGACTTTGAAGAGCCGACTCCCAGTTAAATGGACTGCTTACGAGGCACTCTTGTTTGGACGATACACTACAAAAAGTGATGTGTAAGTAAAAACGGAAAAACAATGGACTCAGTGTAAAAATATGGATTGCAACTCAATAGTTTTATTTTCAGTTAGAAATTACAGAACTAGACGAATAGGGAATGGCAGTCTTATGCTTTAAATGTCTAACAATTCTTATGTGTTTTTGTATTTATAAGACAGGTTGAGTTTTGGAATNACCCATAGGACTAACCGGAGTGTGATTTTTCCTTTCAAACTCAGAACGAGGCGGTGGAAATCGAAGGAAGCAATGTAAACGTTAAAACTACGAACCATCATGCTCCAAGCCAATACATGGCCTTAGTTGAAGTTGTACAGTCCCACGGAGGAACAGGCCCAGAAATATCACCTTATTCAAAAATAAATGAATATGCTTCATTGCACCCAGGAACTCGTTCATGGGAAGTTCCAAGAGAAAATATCATCATTGAAAAGATAATAGGTAAGGGTGCTTTTGGACAAGTGGCGCAAGGAAAAGCTTCACAGCTTCGAGGGAGAGACGGAACAGTTACAGTGGCGATCAAAATGTTAAAAGGTACTAAATGCACTGCAGAATAATAAATACTTATTCATTGCTTCCTACCTTATTTTGAATTATGAATAAACCTATTTGTCCTAGATAACGCTACGGAGAAAGAAAGAAATGATTTGCTGTCAGAACTTGAAGTGATGAAGAAACTCAGGCCTCATCGTCATGTCATCAGACTGCTTGGATGTGTCACTGAATCTGGTAAATCATAGTTAATAGAGGGAAATGGTTAGGAAGGCCAGTAAACACCAAAGAAGCAAACAAACAGGCTAAGATTTATGTTGGTAGTCCCTTGACCCTGCACATCTTTAGTTTCATGCTCACTGACTATGCATAAATTACATAATCGCAATGCTTCTATTGGTTAGTTTTGTGAGCACATGTAACCACCTTTTGTATTTTGCCAGGTTTTGTGCAGGGTCAACCCCCAGATAGCAAACAAAAACACACAAGAAAGAACTTTGGCAAGTTTTCTAACCATTTCCCTCAATTAACTATGGGTAAATAAAACCACAAAGATTTTTCATCATCAAAAATAGTCTAATGCACTTACAGTGTACATGGAAGACCTGCATGGAATTCGAAGGTGCTGTAGACAAAAAATGGTCTGTGTATTGAAATCCAGACTAAGCTGGCTAAGTGATTGTTATTAATATTTATTTTTATTCGCTTCAAGCTTTTGATCCCAGAGTTGATATATCAGCCCTTCGATACCATTTTTGACCTATTCATGGTGGATTACTAGATTTGAGTTGATACCTAATATTTGCCTGAAAAGTGACGCATTAATGTTCTCCATTTTAAATTAAAATAGCTGAAATAATTACAAATCGTTGCGGGCTCAACATTGTTTTTCTCATCAGGAGCCAGAGCTAACCGGAAGCTCAAATATTCGCCAGGTCTGGTTGCTATGGGGTGACGTCCTTTATGTGTTATGTTGCTGTCGTCGCAAGAATTTTGCGGTTCTATTGTGGTTTTGCGATAATTGCTTTCAATGAGAGACATTAATTGTGTACAAAAGTAATCTGGTCATTTTCAGATATGATCTGGCCACACAATTGATGTTTTATAATAAATTTTCACAACGCGGGAATATTGCGCGGTCATATATACTAAAGACTTCGACTTCGAATAAACCCGTCATCGGTCGTTGAAAACGGAGACAAAACGAGATTTGTCTCTGAGTTAGAAGATATGGTATTTCTGCTGACGCATTTGTGCGAAATTGAGCCAGTTTCCAATCGAATTTGCCTCGAGGAGTTACAGAAGATGCGCGGGTTTTCTTTTCACGGGAAGGGCAACAAAGAATCGGCCCTGCTTGTTCATTTGGATTGGTTGTCGCTTAAACCATGAAACAGTTGTTGAAAGCCAAACGAAACCGACAACCACGATTGATTTATACATGAATTCATTCACCCAAAACGACGGAGAGAACCGACAAAGTGTCTTCAGCTAGCGCTGCCCGTGACCAACCTCCTAGAGCATCAAATCAAGATAACAGCTTCAAGACTCAACAAGCCGAACGCACTAAGTTAAGTCATCCGATTAATCCTTTATTTATATCACAACTTATCCGTATTGTCATGCTTTTAGATTATATGGGGACTAGATAGCCACTAAAATGTTAAATCACTATTTTTATTCGTGGGTTAGACCCTGGACTGAGGTCTCTGGTACACTAGTTTTCTAAAAGACAAAAATCACCATATATTTTACAAAAGCCACATAATTTTTCAGCAANCTCTTTTGTCCTCATATTCCTGAGATACCTTGAACGCATGGTTAACGTAGGGGTGGTATCATATTTAAAATGTATTTCTTTTAGGTGTTTAATTAGGTTGCTTTGTATAAGTTCCCACTGAGATAATCAGGCTTTTATATACCACTCCTTGTGAATATCACACGACTTGACGCTGACCAGTTTACTCGTGGCTGTTTTTTCCTTATTGTTTATATCGTTGTTGAAAATAGCGTGTGACATTTTCTTATATTCTTTGGCTTGTAACCTGTACTCAGCGTGTCTCAGATTCTTGTAAATAAACTCGATCATTGCTGGCGACTCCCTCCACTATTCGCTGTATTACTTGTCTCCTCCAATTATAACAGAAATGTTTTCTATTCGGCTGAGCGGAGCGCAATAGAATAGAACAAAGGATAGAAACAAAATTCAGTTTTCTTCAACTCTTGTCCTGTGTAAAAGGGTACAGGTAAAGTCAGCATACGAGCCAAGTGGCCCAGCAGGCTGGGGCTTATCCCGGTTTCTGTGGTGTGAAGTGACTAGGAGTATTTCTACTCCCCCCTGGATGGGATACTGGGCCATCGAAGGGTTACCCCCAGCATTAAGGTCGCCGGCTTGATAATCAAAGAGTTAAGATAGAACACCTTTCTGACAAAGATATATACCGTTTGGCATCCTAGGGTGCGAGGACGAGTTATTTGTTAATCATACTGTGATAATTGCTAAACAGTAGTTCTTGTAGATGAGAGCAAATCTCTCCCTGCAATTAAAGTATTTAATTCCAAAATTAAAACGATTCACCAGCTTGAGACAATGATCGCAAAAGCAAAATTAATAACAAATTGAAAGCTCACAATATGAAATGGGGCAAGAACAAAAACAGTTAGACTGATATAGAATCTCGTGTTGTTGCTACACTGTGCTGAGTGTCATATCTAAAAGTAGAAAAGAGTTAAGAGGAACTGATGTGTGTGTATGTAAATGTAAGATGTTCCGTGTCTGTTTGTTTATGAATTATGTGCAGTGTGTTTATATAAAATTGTAAGAAACTTAAAATCAATAGAAATTGATAAAATAAAAAAAATTAATAATAATAATAGTAATAATAATAATAATAATAATAATAATAATAATAATAATAATAATAATAATAATAATAATAATAATAAGGTCGCCGGTACCCATTTATGCACCCGGGTAGAGAAAGGCACTGTGCACGTGAGAGTAAAGTTTCTTGCCCGAAAACACAACACGATGTCCCCGACCAGGGCTCGAACTCCGCGGACTGCTCGATCCGGAGTCGAGCGCACTAACCATAAGGCAAGCGCTTCCCAACTGTTGTCCTGTGTGTTCTCGCATTATTGAAGTTTAAAGTCTTCTACCCAAATTAAGCCTTCATTGGTAACCTCATCACGACCCGCATGCGTAGGTATAAACGCACCGGTCTCCACACTTTAAAAGGCCTGAAGCAGGGACCCTGATAAAGTGCTGTTAATGGGGAATTCAGCCCCTCTCGGTGGACGTACAAAATTATACTAAAGTTTTCTTTGAAAACCCCCTTTTGTTTTTAACAGATACTAAGACCATCATTCCTGAGATGAAAGCAGTCCCCGCCAGTGTAGTAGCAAGACAAGGTTCTAATGTCACCTTAAAAGTTTAACGGCCAAATTATCAAAGAAGATACCAACAAGAATGTTAGAGTGGAGTATCACTGGCGAAAAGAAGGTAGAAAAGGGACCTTTTCTCTGCAAATTACAGGTGTTTCAGAAAAAGATGTTGGTAAATACGTCTGTAAGGCCAGTGTAAGTGACTTTGGAAAGACAAACGTTGATGAAGATTTCATAGAATTGTCACTTTACAGGAAGGGTGAGTTTCACTTACTTATGTTACTTTTATGCAAAGTTCTTTTAACTTACAGGAACAGCTTAGCAGATGGCTCATGAGTCCAGTCCTCTCAGTTGTTGTTGTTTTTTTTTTATGAACTAAAGATAGCGACAAAAATGCCTTGTTCACAATACTCGTTAAATGACGGCTCTATTCCTATTTAAAAGACACATGTTAGATTAACCTTGAATTTAAGTAAGACAAAATACCTGGTTTTTCAACCACGACAAAAAAGAAATTATAATTNATTTAGACGTACTTTTACATAGAATAAACTCTGAATTGCCTGCTGTTTATGAATGGTTATGCTCAAACAGATTAACCTTGAATTTAAGTAAGACAAAATACCTGGTTTTTCAACCACGACCAAAAAGAAATTATAATTTACATATCCCTCTTAAACTAGCAGACCGGTACCTAGAACAGTCTTCCAGTGTTAAATATTTAGGACTCATTATTGATTGCTCACTGTCTTGGCACGACCATATCGATTATATAAGTAATAAAATTAGCAAAAGTGTAAATGTTGTTGCAAAACTAAAACCCTATGTGACATCCCTATCCCTAACAAGTATATATTATGCACTTATATATCCCTATTTAACTTATGGTTGCGTACTGTGGGGTAATAATTACGAGGTTCCATTGTCATAATTGGTGAGACTACAAAACGAAGCTATTAGAATAATCAACAATGTGCCACTTCGTGATCATTTTACTCCCCATTATGTAAACCTTGGTCTTGTTAAGCTTCCTGACTTTGTTAAACTATATACCTGCCAGCTATTATATACTATATACTATATTATATACTTAATTGATGAAAAACCGTCTAATTACACCTTATCTCTGGTATCTGAGCAACATAACAACGTTACTCGAAGTGCATCCCTACAACACTTAAATCCCGGTTTCTCCAGAATAAATATAAGGAAATTTGCCCCACTATTATTGGATGTTATTATTGGAATGACCTTCCTTTATCTATACGTAACTTAGCGACTAGAAAACGTTTTGAAAAAGCACTCTTCCAGTATTATTTTGCTCAGTATTAGTTAATTCATACCTCTTCCTCTCTTATGTTGAGTTAACTTTTTTACCCTAATTATTATTGTCAATTAAACTAGGGCATCTAATTAGCTTGCTATACTTTTGCATTCTCCATTTCTCCTCTTACTTGTCTACTTTATATTTATCTTTGTAATTTTAGAATGGAATAAATAAATAAAATGAAAATGAAAAAATGAACTCCGGGAATTGGGTAGCAAATTTAACGGTACCTATCTGCACATATAATATAGTTTCTATTGACAGCCCTATCTTTCCTTGCAAAATGTGCAATTAAAAAAATCAGACCTTGCTTAAGTTATAGAGTGTTTTTAAAATCCGTTATTAAATCTTTTTCAGGCCAAAAAAAAAATGTCCATCAAGATCCGTTCTTTTGCAGGTCTTCGTTTATTGGATACAAGCTAATAAAGAGAGTTTAAATCAAAAAAGACATAACAAGATGGATATATTTTATCGTCAGCCAAGTTTGATGTCATATTTGATAAGGTCTTTTGACTCCTAACTTTCTGAATAGGGAAACAAAAAGAAGATTGGACAAAAAGAAATAAATGGAGTCCAGCAGAAATATGAAAAAAAAAAAAAAAAAGAAAAAAACTGAGGAGTCCCCTTTCGGGGGCTGAACGCCATGCCCTTCCGAACCGAAGCTCGGAAATGTAGCCACTGTGCTACAGGGAGACTCCGTGAATTGAGTAGTAAATTTAACGGTACCTATATGCACATAAAATGTAGTTTCCTATGTTTCTTTGCAAAATGTTTAGTTAAAAAAATGAAAGTCCTTGGTTAAATTATAGAGTCTTTTTAAAATCCCTTATTAAATCTTTCCCAGGCAAAGATCCGTTCTTTTGCAGGTCTTCGTTTATTGGATACAGGCTAATAAAGGGAGTTTAAATCAAAAAAGACATAACAAGATCGATATATTTTATCGTCAGCCAAGTTTAATGTCATGTATTATAAGGTCTTTTGACTCATAACTTGGTCAAAAGAGATACAAACAGAAGATTGCACGAGAAAAAATAAATGGAGTCCAGCACAAATATGAAAAAAAGACTGAGGAGTCCCCCTACGGGAGCTGAACGCCATGCCCTTCCGAACCGAAGCTCGGAAATGTAGCCACTGTGCTACAGGGAGACTCCGTGAATTGGGTAGCAAATTTGACGGCACCTATATGCACATAAAATGTACTTTCTATTGACAGCCCTATCTTTCTTTGCAACGGCGTGCCATTAAAAAAATCACAGACCTTGCTTAAGTTATAGAGTCTTGTTAAAACCCCCAATTAAATCTTTTCCAGGCCAAATAAAATTTCCATCAAGATCCTTTCCTTTGCAGATCTTCGTTTATTCGATGCAAGCTAATAAAGAGAGTTTAAATAAAAAAAGATCTAACAAGATGGATATATTATATTGTCAGCAAAGTTTGATGTCATATTTTATAAGGTCTTTTGACTCCTAACTTGCTCAAAAGGGAAACAAAACGAAGATTGGACAGAAAAAATGGAGTCCAGTACAAATATGAAAAAAAAAACTTAGGAGTTCCCTTGCGGTGGCAGAACGCCATGCCCTTCCGAAGGGAAGCTCGGAAATGTAGCCACTGTGCTACAGGGGAACTCCGTGAATTGGGTAGCAAATTTAACGGTACGTATATGCACATAAAATGTACTTTCTATTGACAGCCCTATTTTTCTTTGCAAAATGTGCAATTAAAAAATCAAAGACCTTGCTTAAGTTATAGAGTCTTTTTGAAATCCGTTATTAAATCTTTCCCAGGCCAAAAAAACAAATTTCCATCAAGATCCGTTGTTTTGCAGGTCTTCGTTTATTGGATACAATCTAATAAAGACAGTTTAAATCAAAAAAGACATAACAAGATGGATATATTATATTGTCAGCAAAGTTTGATGTCATATTTTATAAGGTCTTTTGACTCCTAACTTCCTGAAAAGGGAAACAAAACGAAGATTGGACAAAAAGAAATAAATGGAGTCCAGCACAAATATGAAAAAAAAAGACTGAGGAGTCCCCCTACGGGGGC